TGCTCTTTGTCGGTTCTCACACAAGTTGCTTCACTAGGAAAGAAAACCCCGCGATTGTTCATTTTTGTTTAAACCAAAAGTGACTGTTGACAGACACAAAATCAAAGTTCGAAAAACTACAATTTATGTTTATGGATGTTCACTGTAATTGGTTTGAAACTAACCAGTAATGAGAGCATCACTTTCCTTCGTACTACTAATGTGGGCAGCAGTAACCGGCAATGGGACTGGCGGTGGAATCCCAAAACATTTGTGCTCTTTCGTTGCAGCAACGCATTTCCCAGAGCTCAAATCGTTTAACAATAGCGATGCGGTACCCATAACAGTTCCAGTTACAAATTATAATGTTCTCGGATGTTCGAGAATCAAATTCGTCAAAATCTGACTTCAATAAAATATTTTCAGTTGATGTTTCATGTGCGTTAGAAGAAGGGAAAACGCATTGCTCTTGATATCACAATGGACACAAAGGGTAAACGGGGTGTGAATTGAACTCCGGAGCCATTGAAAATACCAAGGCTTGTGGTAACTTCAGTTGTTTCAGCCATGGTAAGGACACAAATCGTCACTCAACTGATTTCTAATTCATCATTCAAATCCCGGTCAACAAAGGCTGTTTTCTTAGAGAAAGCTTATACCCAGCTTTTGAAGCATCTCCCAAATTTGTTTGTAAATCTACTTTGTGACTCATAGGAATGAAATGTTAAACTTGCAAAACTTCAACATTTTAGATCCACATGTCATCGTTTGGAGCTTGGATGATGTAAAGCTACTCCGAGATATCGTCTGTATAAACCTAAAAAATTGGGAACGTTTTTTACCTGTTAATCATATTTTTTATATCCGGAAGCCGAAATCACGTGCCTATTGACAACGAGACTGTGGGTAGCGGCTGGTCTTATGGTTCACATGACTCATTATATACCTTCATTATCTCACAAATACCCTGATTTCTCCGCCAGTCAAATTTTGCAAGCAACCTAATAACCACACAAATTTACTGCGAAAAGGCACTATCGTTTCACACTACCTTCGATATTGATTGTTCGATAAATCGGTATCATTTTCCCACTTGTACAGAAAACTAGGGAAAGCTGAATGGCTAATCAATCCAATTGAATATGGTATGGAAAAAGAGGCGAGTGTTTGACAACTCTGTCGTATCCGTTACTGGTTTTGGAACAGGATGTGTGCAGTGTGTGTGTATGCGTGTGTGTGTGTGAGGTCACGTACATGATTGTAGTGCAAGTTGAAATTTATATATGAATGTGTGTCACTGATTATCACGCTCAGATAGAACAGTGCTCCAGCCGGCTTGCTTCAACCGACAAAGGTGCCACTGGCACCAGGTCAAAGTGACCATGTGAAATTTGTCCCATTGAATGGATTGATCCCGTAAGCACTAATATCTCGCTTGCATACTTTCCGCAATGACCTCAATTAATAGCGTGGAAAGTGGATGGGCATGTGCATATGGAGAGAGAAAGCGGGGTGCATTGAAGCGTTGAATCTAATCAGTCGATGTGCATGAAAGCTATCGGGAGTGCTCAGTCAACCTACCAAATAGCATCATGTTATTTCCTGGCCTTATGAATGATTATATCTTTCAATTACCAGTTCACTCCAGTCACATTAGGAATGCACTTCATCTGTGTTTCATGGGTTTTAAATTTTAGGACAACACGTATTCACGGGTTACTCGGCCACCTTCATAGAAAATTCCATTCCCAATCCACTGTTTCTTCTGATCTTTAGCATGTCGCATAAAATTCTGATTCTATGAACTCCGTGTTCCTTTGCTTTTATGGACGTGTGCAACAAACTCGGTCATCTGCTATTGTGACTACGAGCTGTTCAACACGAGTATGATAGAATCGTCATCGTGAGGAATCGTTTGTCGAATTTCCCACACGCTTGAAACCAAATTGGCGTAACACCTTCCCACCCGTGAAGTTTTATCAACCAAAACATTCGGCACAGTGCTCTTCCTTAGAAGCACTGAAGTTTATTTGTATTTCCATTGTCCATCAGAACTAGTTTTCTATAGACGTTTGTCTGAGTTTGTTAGCTTAAGAAGCCATTTCAAGGCATGAAGCAATTCAGGGGTAGTTTGTTTGGCTAGTATGTGATGCACGTTGCATTAATCAAGGAGGCCTTCGGCGAATTTGTTTTGAATGGTTTATTTCGCTCCAGTTCACAAACAGCCAGAGAAGGAAGTTGCCGTTCATGACGGGGCTATTCAGTGATATCATTTAGGTCGAACAGATACAATGAACAGGTACTTTGGGGATTACAAGTCGTGAATAGGTGAATCAGTCGTAAGTGAATGTCTAAGATTGCCATATCCAGTTCACAAGATTCACCCAACCATCCATGCAAAGCGAGTGAAAAAACCTAGCAACCAACTTCAGCACCATTTGTAATAGCTCAGCTGAAAAACAACCATTCCTTCTGATCGGCGCCTTTCATTTGTTCGTGTCTGAAATTCTGTGCAAATTTGTAGATAACCCGTGGTACTGTGTAGCTTTTGACCTGGAGAACAGTTCGATATCAGTGAATACAGGGGAGGAACAGCTAAGAAAATAGCGTGACATTTTGAGCGGGTTTAAACTAAGACCAGGGCTGCCAAAAGAAAGACACCGGAAAACTACATTATGTCCCGATTGGGTCTGATCAGAGATAGCCTCGTTCAAGGAGTGAACATATAACAAAAACAAACGAACAGATAAAATTCGACCTCCGTGGATATCATCTCGGTTGTTGATAAACCGTGTTTAATTTCGAGAACAGTCAACTAAAGCTGTGGGAACCGGTTTTTATTAGTTTACTCACAGAAAAGTGTGTACTACGAAATATCGCAGAGTTACTCACTCCGTGCTTATGCCAGATTTAGGTTGGAGTTACTGTATTCACCCAGTCTTCTAATTAATCCGGGATGAGGGGCCAGAAGAGTGGAACAAAAGCAAAATAATGGTTGAGTTGCGAAGTGCCTATCATAATGAATCGATCCATGTGGTCAGAATAAATCACACAGTATACATGAAGTAACTGTCCAGTCCAAAGGAAATCATATAAAATATTGATTACATCACAACCAACTTACTTTAGACCGGTGGTAACGATGAGATAATTTAAAAAGAGTAATTGGAAAAAATAGTACCGTTAACGTGCACATCCGTCAGAGCTTATATATCACCGGAAATCGAACGCATAATCATCCGTTCTTAAGATATGAAGGATTTTCGGGATGGATTTTTAATACCGTTTAGCTAGTTGAATCAAATATAATTCGATTCAGAATTCTGCTGCATATTTTGTCGTGCATTTGGCACTGATATTCACGCATACCATCTTTGTTATGCGCATGGCATGACAAAGCGGGGCATCGGTTCACATTTTTGAATATCTTATCAAACAGGGCTACCAATCAATTGATCACAACCGGTTGCATGTGCCTGTATCTCGATTAGACCCGGCATGTCTAGAAACAGTGTTGTGTTATTTTTTAGTGGAAACAAGCGGAATTTTGTTCAAAACTCACCCTTTATCAAAGCATTTGCTAAACGATCAGTCTGTCCTATTCACTTATGCGGATGTGAATCCGCAGGTTGATTGCACCAAGATAGTTCAACGACAGAGTTCATTTACTTTTTGAGGGACTGTTTCACTCTTCCGGTAAACTGTTGGTTCGAAAACCCAGAGTTACATAAAAATTCATGTGTGGGTAATAATACGATAAGGAAAGCAGCACTGTAACTGTTTTCAAGGAGGATATGGTAGCTCACTCATTTAAACTATTTTGGAAGTTTTCATTTGTTTATGAATGTGTATTTATCAGAACGAATCAACGCATCAATTCAAGCTTTCCAAGGAATGTATACAATTGTTTCACCATTGTTGGAAGTCATCACCAGTGCGTTTTCACTGGAATTCAAACCCCGTTCGCTATTCGCCGCTCAGAACACTTTGGTTATATGGGCCGGCTGTCAGAAACTTGACACAGCGTTTATCCATCACTGTGTTTGAATGTACCTGGATCTTACCAGACAGTAATCGACTCCCTGCTCGGTGCCAAGACCGATCGATTCGATGATTCTGCACTACCGACAAGATTTTGCTGGGGTGAAACAGCCGTACAAGGTTTTTCATTATGGAGTAATCCAATGACTGTTTGATGAGTACTCATCAATCATCAAACATTGTTCTCACTCGTCCTAACGTTTCCAAATTCTGATTGTAAATATGATCATGAAAAACCATTATTATTCTGTTGCAGTTTTACTGGCGAAGGTTGTTTCAACATTGTTTTTGCATTAATGGAGTTTTGCTCAGGCAAACTGGGCATTATGTAATTGTCAAAACAAAGAAAACACCTGCAGTATTGAGGTAATTCAGGTATTTTGGTTGGGACATTTTGGGGATTCCCATGGCAACAGTGACTTTTCGCCACAACTCTTTCACAAGTGATGGTGAGGGATTTCTGAGAACTTTGAAGCATGGCTGTTTATAAAATGCGCGCATATAAAATTGCTATGTCTCAAGTTCCAGAGTAAACTCATTGATTGCAAAAGTGGTCAAAAGGTGAATAATTTTGTTTAATGATTCATATTCTTGCCGTTACTATGATCAGCAATACTCTAATCACAATCGGTTTCATTCAAACATGATAAACACAAATGCAGATCCGGCTACTCTCCCCTTTCCCTATCCCGTTTGTCCTTCCACACAAAAAAGAAAATTTATTCTCACTCACACTCAACCCAGGTATGATTTGTACAGACAGGAATATTACATACTTACAAATGTTAAAGACCTAATTCGAAGAACAGCGGATGCATCAAGATCAGAACAGTCCACGTCTTATTTCGGCCAATTCGTTTGTAATTAATTGAATAAACACGACTTGAAAATCTCCGTTTTGTCCTCATTCTCCTCAGTTTTGATTTCAACACTTGATTTTTCTCATAATCCTTACCGCCTGCTCGAATCCCGACAGGTTGATGGCAAAAGCCACGGTCCCTTTGAAAGGAGCATTTTCAAGTGGACGAATGGACTTAAAGCTTCCGTTGTTAAGCAAGGACGGAAAGGAGACAGCGGTAAGTTCAATCTCTTCAATGTCTCAAGTTTACTCACATTTCGTGATGACTGGGAAAGATTTTAATTCATTCTATCCCGTGGCCCATGAGAGTATCTATCTAAAATGCGGCCCATTTCATGACATATTGGTTCCACGAGTTACTTGAGCAATCACCAGGACTGTAGTCTTTTTGCTAGAGAAAATTATATCCTTTAGTGAAATTCAAACCATCATCATACAGAAAAGCTGATTGTGGGCATGGGCGATCGGGGAATCCACACATTTGGATTCCATAAGTTTTAAACTTTGAACAGATGTTTTATTCACACACGCACGCACATACACATATATAAATACATACGCTTTAAAATAATCTGAGCGGAAAGTTAATGCGATCACTCCGAGTGTTCACGTGACCGTGATTGTTCGAATCTGTTAGGTTGGTCTGATCGTCACACGTGGAGGCCGTGAGCGACCGCTCGTCTGGAATCATTCCATCTGAACCTCAGTCGCTAAGTCCTACGGACTATTCCCCACAAAGGAAAGTGTGTGATAAAGGAACGTGTTTCAAGAGTAAATAGACTGGTAGACAGTTTAGATGGTAAATGTATGGATTAGCCCATTTGGTTTTTCACAGGCTCCAGGCCCCGTGGATGATGTTCGGTGTGAGTTTCACTATTTGGGAGATCGTTAATTCCCCACTATTTGAATCCACTTATATACGGTGAAAATGTTTGTGATAACCGACAAAGACTGGTAGACAATTAAAAACAGTACTAATCGACGGAACTCTATATACAAGCTATTTGCATCGTTTCTTTCCAACCAGGAAAATGGAACTCGTTTGTTTTCAACACACTGAGGTCATCATATCCGAGCACTTAAGGAATCCTTCATTCTCGTTCCTAAACTAACGGTGATTTTCACAGTTCCGCTGAAATATACGAAAGTTCTTCATAGTAATTATTTTCGTTCAAAGAAACACCCTCCTTTTGTTTTTGGACATTTTCTATATCATCAATGTCATTCTTGTGAACCCACTTAACCAGCAATTCGGATCGTGGATAATCCATTTTGTATATCGATTTCTCTCTCATCGGTTCTACTATCTCGGAGTTTATTCTCATTATATATTCACGGAATCGTCGCTGAGCTTTGCGCCATCTCACTTCCACCCCCGTCAATGAAGCAATGATTTCTCACAAGTTTACTCAAATCGTACAATGGAAAGACTCTGTGATTTTCACGATCATCCGATCTTACTCCGTAGACGATATACGGACAATGTGTGGAGACGCGTTGAGCATTTTTATCGCGTAGCGTCGCACTCACACATACACGATCATACCTAAATGTTTGTCTCCTATAACCAATACGAATTACATCAGTGAGATTGTCGGGCTTTGTTTAGGATTGATGGCATTGTCATTTAGACAAAAGAAACAAATCACGTGAATGGTCCGATTGCTTAAGTTCAACTGCAGTTTTCCCCAGCTATTCAAAGATTCAACTCCCAGCCGTTGAGGGATGCATGCGGTTCAACAGAATGCGCTCAACGCCTGACAGTGAATGTGATTCACATTTCAACTCCATGGATCACTTGTCTCTTAGGAGTAGTAACGAAATGGAACTGAACCTGGAATTGCGGACACTTATCACAAACAAAGTCACATACAAAAGTGATCTCATATCAATGCGCACTACCTCAGTGAACCA